TGGTGGTGGTGGGTGATGGTGGTGGTGGGTGATGGTGGTGGTGGGTGGTGGTGGTTGGTGATGGTGGTGGATGAGTGATGCCGGAGCGATGAGTGAGTGATGCTGACAGCGGGTAAGTGATGCCAGTGACGCCAGGCAGGCGATGCCAGTGGTGCCAGTGGGTGATGGCAGCACTGCCACCAGCCCGCTGTGACCCCACTGTCACTGCCCCGTGACAGGAGCACTGGGAGGATGAGCAGGGTGCCCCGGTGAGCCGGGAGCTGCTGCTGCTGGTGCTGCAGGGGCTGGAGGGCATCTTCATCCGGGCGGTGTATGACGGGCGCATGGCCAGCGTGGGGCTCAGCGACGTGGCCATGGATGTCACCAGCGCCGGGGACACCGGCCTGGGGCCGGCTGGCAACGTTGAGGAGTGCAGGTGACTACCGACGGCGAGGTCACGGGCTCGGTGCCACCACTGCTATGGTGCCACGATGCCACCATCTCCCCACTGTGTCCCCAGGTGCCCCGTGGGCTACACGGGGCTGTCGTGCCAGCGCTGTGCCCCCCGCTTCGAGCGGGTGACGAGGGGACCCTACCTGGGGACCTGCTCCGGCTGCGGCTGCCACGGCCACTCCAGCACCTGCGACCCCGTGTTTGGGCACTGCCTGGTAAGGGGCGGGGGGGCTGATGAGGTGACAAATGGACAGGGATGTGGCACAGTGGCACGGTGCCACCACCCCCCCCCGTGACACGTGTGTGTGTCCCCCCAGAACTGCCAGCACAACACAGAGGGACCGCAGTGCGAGAAGTGCAAACCCGGCTTCTTCGGCGATGCCACCAAGGGCACGGCCACCGCCTGCCACCCCTGTCCCTGTCCCTACACGGAGCCCTCACGCAGGTGGGTGACAACCCCGGGGACCCCCCAGTGCCACCCCCGGGGACCCCCTCAGTGCCACTGCCCCAGTGATGCCTCTCCTTGTGGAGGAGAACTGGAGGAGGCACTGGGCCATACTGGGAGCACTGGGAGCTCTCCAAAAACATCCCCAAGCCCCATACTGGTCCTTACCGGTCCATATTGATCCATACTGCTCCATACTGATCTGTAATGGTCCATATTGATCCATACTGGTCCTTACTGATCCATACTTATCTGTAATGGTCCATATTGATCCATACTGGTCCTTACTGGTCCATACTGGTCCATACTGTCCCCGCAGGTTCTCGGAGTCGTGCTTTCTGGACACGGATGGCCAGGCCACCTGCGACGCCTGCGCCCCTGGATATGCCGGCCGGCGCTGCGAGAGGTGGGGGGGAGTCCCTGTAACCCCCACACCCCTCAGCCCCCCATCACCCCCCAGTCACGCCCCAATCACCCCCCAATCACCCCCAATCACCCCCCATCCCCACAGGTGTGCCCCAGGCTACGAGGGAGACCCCATCCAGCCAGGTGGCAAGTGCACCCCAATCGGTGAGTGGGGGGGCTGGTTGGGGGCATCCCCCCACCCTGTGGGTGGCCCCCACCCTCACCCTGCTGCCCACAGGTCAGGAGCTTGTCAAGTGTGATGCCCGCGGGGGCCAGGACGAGGCTGGTGGCACCTGTCGCTGCAAGGTGAGGGCAGGGGCTGGGGGGCAACGGGGGGCAACGAGGCAGTGGGGGTTGCCATCCCCCCAGCACCCAGTCTGCTCCCTGGGGTACCCAGTCTCATCCTCCTCCCCCAGCACCCATCGCACTCCCACCCCATGGCACCCAGCCCAACCTCCCAGTGGCACCCAGTCTGAACCCCCATAGCACCCAGTCACCCTGGGGCACCCGGTCTGACCCTCCCAGCACCCATCACACCCCCACCCCATGGTACCCAGCCCAACCCCCCATGGGATACACTACAATGCTCCCATAACACCCAGTCTGCTCCCTGGGGCACCCAGTCCCACCATCCCACCCACAGAACCCATGACAAACGCCTCCATAGCACCCAGCCTGATCTCCCATAACACCCAGTCTGACCCCCCAGCTCCCAGTCCAACCCCTCATAGCACCCAATCTGATCCCCCATAGCACCCAGTCCCACCATCCCATCCACAGCACCCATGATAAACCCCCTCATAGCACCCAGTCTGACCTCCTCATGACACCCAGTCTGACCCCCCCCCACCCCCCAGCCGAACCCCCCCGGCCCCCCCTCTGACCCCCAGCACCCATCCCACCCTCACCCCATGGCACCCCATCCACCCCCAGCGCCCAGCCCCGTGCCCCCCGCGCCCCCTCACTCTGCCCCCTCCCTGTGCCCGCAGCCCAACGTGCGGGGCCGGCTCTGTGACTCCTGTGCCGCGGGCACCTTCCACCTGAGCGCTGCCAACCCCGCGGGCTGCCTGCCCTGCTTCTGCATGGGGCTGTCCCGCTCCTGTGCCAGCTCCGCCTGGCACCGACACCAGGTACCGTGAGGGGCACGGGGGGGACGGGGCAGGCCAGGCCGTGCCAGGCCACAGTGTGCCGCACTGTGCCATGCTGTGCCATACTGTGCCATCCTGTACCGTGTCGTGACATGCCTCGGCGTGTCTTGCCATGTTGTGCCATGTTGGGCCATGCTGGGCCATACTGTGTCATACCAAGCCATGCCACGCCATTATGTGCCATGCTCTGCCATGCTATGTCACACCATGTGACATGCTGTGCCTTGCTGTGCCATCTTGTGCCATGTCATGCCATGTTGTGCCGTGCAGTGCTGTGCTGAGCCATACTGTGTCACACTAAGCCATGCCACACCATGTAGTGCCATGCTGGGCCACGCCATGTCAATACCATGCCGTGTCGTGCCATGTCCCACCACGCCTTGCCATGCCATGCGATGATGGGCCGTGATCTGTCGTGTCGTGCCCTGTGGTGCCAGGCCATGCCCTGCCACACTGTGCTGTGCCATGCCATGTCGCACCTCGTCGTGCCACGTCATGGCATGATATGCCATGTTACACCATGCCATGTCATACCATGGTATGTCACGTTGTCCATGCCGTTACATACCATGCCATGCCATGCTGTGCCTTGACATACCATGTCATACTGTGCCATGTGGTGCCATCATACACCGTGCCAGGCTATGTCATGTCATGCCACTTCTTGCCATTATGTGGAATTACGTGCCACGCCATGCCCTGCCTGGACATGCCATGCCATGTCATACTATGCCACGTGGTGCTGTGCCATGCCGTGTAGTGCCATGTCATACCTGCCATGTAGCACTGTGCCGTGTAGTGCCATGCCATGCCAGGTAGTGTCATGTCGTGCCACAGTGTGTCATTCCATGTAGTGCCATGCCATGCTATGCCATGCCATGCCATGCCATGCCGTGTCATTCCATGTAGTACCATGCCATGCCATGCCATGCCGTGCCCACTATGCTCCCTCCCCAGGTGCTGCTGACCTCAGAGGACTCTGCCCCGCTGCCCCTGGCCAACGTGTCGGGCACTCCCCTGCCAGGGGCTGTGCCCCGCTTCGTGTCCCCACGGGAACTGCTCCTCGACACCTTCCGGGACCTGCCACGGGGTGTCCTGTACTGGGTGCTGCCACCACCCTTCGCTGGGGACAAGGTGACACTTCCGGGCCACCCTGAGCTCACTGTGTCCCCAGTGTCAGCTCAGGGACAGGGGGACACCCTGGGCCACACCAACCCTCAACGTGTCCCCAGTGCCAGCTCAGGGACAGGGTTACATCCCAAACCACCCTGAGCCCACCGCCACTCCAGGGGGGAAACAGGGTGACACTCCTGGGCCACACTGAGCCTTCAATGTCCCCAGTGCCAGCTCAGGGACACCCTTGAGCCATGCAGAACTTCATGTCACCTGCTGCCGGGGGACAGGGGGACACCCCTGGGCTGACCTGAGCCCCACAGTGTCACCTGCTGCCACTCTGGGGGGACAGGGGGACACCCTCAAATCACACTGAGCCTTACCTTGTCCCCCAGCACTGCCTCAGGGGGGGCATGGGGTGACACCCCTGGGCCACCCTGAGCCTCATAACGTCCCCCTCTGCCAGCTCAGGGGGGGACAAGGTGACATCCCAGAGCTACCCTGAGCCTCACTGTGCCCACCCCGTTACTCCAGGATGGCAGGGTGACACCCCTGAGCTGACCTGAGCCCCACAGTGTCACCTGCTGCCACTGTGGGGGGACAGGGTGACCCCCCCAAACCACACTGTGCCTCAATGTCCCCTGCTGGCACTGGCTGCGGGGGGAGGGACCCCCGGCCACGCTGAGTGTCCCCGCAGGTGACGGCGTACGGGGGGGAGCTGCGGTACACGGTGACACACCGCGCCCCCCCGGGGGCACCCCCGCCCCCCCGGCACCCCGACGTCCTGCTCCAGGGCAACGGGATCCTCCTGGAGCACTTCTCCAGTGCCACCCCCCCGGCCGGGGTCCCCACCGCCGTCACCGTGCCCATCCGAGAGGTGAGGGGGGGACACCCAGCAAGGGGGACATGGGGGGACACTGGGGGTTGGGGTGGGTTGGACTGGGTGCTATGGGGGGTCAGACTGGGTGCTCTGGAGCAGGGGTGAAATGGATGCCATGGAGAGGTGGGTTTGGGTGCCCCAGGCATCGGACTGGGTGTCATGGGGGGTTGGAGTGGATGTCACAGGGGACTGGGAGAGGTCCCATGGGGGTCAGATTGGGTGCCATGGGGCATGGGGTGGGCTGGGTGCATAGACTGGGTGCCCCAGGGGTCAGGCTGGGTGCCATGGGAGGTTGGACTGGGTGATTGGACTGGGTGCCATGGAAGGGTGGGATTGGGTGCCCCATGGATTGGACTGGGTGTCATGGTGGGGGTCAGACTGGGTGCGGGGGGTGGGTTGGACTGGGTGCTGTGGGAGGTCAGACTGGGTGCTCCAGGGAATTGGACTGGGTCTTCTGGGGGCCTGGAGTGGGTGCTAAGGGGCAGGATGTGGGAGGAGAGGGACTGGGTGCCCCAAGGGTCAGGCTGGGTGCCATGGGGCGTTGGACTGGGGGATTGGACCAGGCACCATGGAAGGGTGGGATTGGGTGCCCCATGGTTTGGACTGGGTGTCATGGTGGGGGTCAGACTGAGTGCCCCAGGGGATTGGAGTGGGTCCCATGGGGGCTGTACTGGGTGCCATGGGGCAGGGGTGGGCTGGGTGCTGGGAGATCAGACTGGGAACCCCTGGGATCAGACTGGGGACATAGGGGGTGGGACTGGGTGCCCCCAGGATCAGTCTGGGTGCCATGAGGGGGTCACCCTGGGTGCCCCCAGAATCAGTCTGGGTGCCATAGGGGGGTCACCCCGGGTACCTGGGGGGGTGGGGCTGTGTGCAGTGGGGGATGGCAGCACCTCCATCACCCCGGTGTGCCACAGGGCGCCTGGCGCCGCGCGGATGGGCACGATGTCACCCGTGAGCACCTGCTGATGGCCCTGGCCGACGTGGACCTGTTCATGATCCGGGCGTCCTACTCAGAGCAGCCAGAGGAGAGCAGGTGGGTACTCGGGGTGGGGGGCACGGGAGGGGGTGTGGAGGGTGTCAGGAGGGCGGTGGTGACGTGTCATCTGTCCCCACAGCCTGGCCGATGTCAGCCTGGACGTGGCAGTGCCACACGTCACCGGCCGCCCGCCCGCGCTGGAGGTGGAGGACTGCGCCTGCCCGCCCGGGTACCGCGGGGCCTCCTGCCAGGTGAGACCCCCTGGGGCCCCTCAGCACCCTTGGGGGCCCCTCACTGCCCCGCTGAGCCGTGTCCCACCCCGCTGGCACCGTGTCCCCTCTAGGACTGTGACACCGGCTACACCCGCAGCAGCGCCGGGCTCTACCTGGGCACGTGTGAGCCGTGCCAGTGCCACGGCCACGCCAGCGAGTGCCACCCCGACACCGGCGTCTGCCAGGTGAGCTGGGGACACCCAGGGGACACCCCGGGCACCGCCATGGCGGGGACACCGGTGCCATCACCCCTTTGCTTCCCAGGGCTGCCGGGATCACACAGAGGGACCCCAGTGTGACAAGTGCCAGCCCGGCTACTACGGCGATGCCACCCGGGGCACCGCGGGCGACTGCCGGCCCTGTCCCTGCCATGGGCCCCATGGGGACAGC